ACACTGAGGGTTGCGATCCGTTGCCGGTCATGAAAAAAGACAAAAAGGAAAAAAAAAAAAAACGTGGTACTGAAGCTGCAATAGGTAAACAGAATCAAGAGTTCAGATAACAGACGCATGTATACATGAGAATTTAGATTATGATAAAGGTCCTTCTCTAAATAGTAAACGATGATCTATCTATTCAATAAATGGTGTTGGGACAACTAATTGTCACTTTAGAAAAAGGGCTGGCCAGTTAGCTCAGTTGGTTGCAACATGGTGCTGATAACACCAAAGTGCAGTGTTTGATCCCTGTACCGGCCAGCTGCCAAAAAAAAAAGCAAGTTAGAAAAAAATAAAACTAGACTTTACATCTCCTACCAAACACAAGTTCTTGGTGGATTGAAGAGCACAAACTAAAAAACAAGAATATAAAATATTAGCATTTTGTATGTGTCCTTCACTTATACAAACCTTTTTATCATTAATAAAAGGCTATTATAAGTATTATTTAGCTTTTTTCACTCAGTAGAGGATGCTATTATTATCCTCATTTTGCAAAGGAGTAAATTAAGTCACAGAGAGGTGAGATTCCTTGCCCATGGTCACAAAGCTAGGAAATTGCTGAGTTGGGATTCTGATTCTGGCTGACTGGCTCCAAGACCTTATCCTCTGTAGGCCCAGAAGTCCAAAGCCTGTGATAGAAAGATTTAGAGGGCTTTGAACAGGGAAATGACATGTTTATGCTTTAAGAAGATATTTCTAGGGGGCTGACCCGTTAGCTTAGCAGATTAGAGACTGGTGTTGTAACACCAAGGTCAAGGGTTTGGATCCCCTCACTAGCCAGCCACCAAAAAAAAAAATAATAATAATACACACACACACGTTGCTTGACAATGTAGAGAGCAGATGTAGTAGGACAAAGGTAGAAGCAAGGAAACCAGTTAAAGGAGTACTGTTCACATCTACAGACACATGAGGGTGGGCTAGAGTAGCAGGTGGCTTTTTTTGTTGTTGTTTTTGTTTTTGTTAGCAGGTGGTGATAAATGCTAAAGTCAAGACATATCTTGGAGGTACAGTACATGGGAATTGCTTATAGAACGAATGTGGAATTTGAAAGGGAAAGAAGAGTCATGGGAAACTCATGAAGTTTTGGCCTAAGTAAATGATGAGAGATAGTGGCATTAGTGAGCTGGAAAATGCTGGGGGAGTGGCAAGTTTGGGGACAAATTTGAGAATTTTGTTAAATTTGAGTGCGAGTATGACATCCAAGTGCAGATATTGAATAGACAATTTAATATATTTAGTATAGAGTTCAGGGAATTGGGCAGAATTAAAAATAAAAACCTAGAAGTCATCAGCATATAGAAGGTACTAAAGCAAAGAGACTGTATGAGATCACTAGGGAATGAACATGGATGGAGCAGAGGCTGAGGATGGAGCCCGCCAGTTCTATGCAGCACTCCTCACAGTGGTAATTTCATACTTATTTGTTGAACTATTCCACTAATTTCTAATCTCTTACTAGACCAAAGCTTCTTGACCACAGGTACTGTGGTCTGCTTCACTCACTATTATATCTAACAACATGGTACCTGGCCTTTAGCCAGCTGAAAGAACCAGAGGCATTTTAAAATGTGATTTGGCAGTGTCCATTATAACATAAAACGGTCATAGCACTTGACTCACCAAATCCATTCCTAGGAATAAAACCCAAAACATTTTAACAACTATGCAAAAAGAAATATATCTGTCTTAGTACACTTTGTGTTGCTGTAACAGAATACCACAGACTAGATAATTTGTAAAGAAAAGAAGTTTTGGCTGGCAGGTTAGCTCAGTTGATTAGAGTGTGGTGTTGATAACACCAGGTTCAGGGTTTGATCCCTGTACCACCCGGGTAACCACCCCTGCTCCCCCCAAAAGGAATTTATTTCTCAACAGTTCTGAAGGCTCAGAACATCCAATATCAAGGTGCTGGCATCTTGTGAAGGTCTTCTCACTGCATCATCTCATGGAGGAAGGCAGAAGGGCAAGAGAGCTCAAGAGAGTGAGCAAGAGAGAAAGGGGGCCAAACTCATCCTTTTTATCAGGAACCCACTCCTACAATAACTAACCCACTCCTGGGACAATGCCATTAATCCATATATGAGGGCAGACAGAGTCCTCGAGACCTAATCCCCCCTTAAAGGTCCTATCCTCAACGCTGTTGCACTGGGGATTAAGTTTCCAACATATGAACTTTGGGAGACACATTCAAACCATAGCAACATACAAAGTGTTCACTGAAAAACTATAATTATAAAAAATCGCTGTTGCACTGGGGATTAAGTTTCCAACATATGAACTTTGGGGGACACATTCAAACCATAGCAACATACAAAGTGTTCACTGAAAAACTATAATTATAAAAAATCATAAACAGATGACCTGCAATAGCAGGGTGCTCAAATAGATAACAATACTGTATCTTCATACTATAAAATCCTGAGAAGAGGTATAGTACTGTGGAAAGAGGGTAGGCCCTGGAGCCAAATGGCCAGGGCTAGAGCAACAGGTAGTGATAAGACATATCTTAACTTTAGAATCTTAGCTTGACCACTTCCTTGTGAAATGGGGATAATAATAGCACCTTCTACTAAGTGAGATAAGAAGCAGGATATTTGCAATAGGTTGTTAGTGGGGAAAAAAAGGTTTGTGTAAATGTGTGTGTTCATAACTGTAAATATAGATATGTATGTAGATACATAGAAAGGGCCGTGGAAGGATGTGCACCAAACTCTGGACAGTGGCAACAACCCTGGATAGGGGTAAAAAGAAAGGAATGAGTAATGGGAATATTCACATGCTGCTGTCAATAATTGTGTTGCTTCAAGTTTTTACAACTTTATGTATATTAGTTGTATAATTAAAATCAATAAAGTCATCCTTATACTGGCCAACTGCCAATCAATCAATGAATGAATCAAATCAATTAAGGCAAAGATGAATAAGACTATATATAGATATACGCAACATGGGTTTTTTTGTCCCCCCCCCGCCGTTTTTCTATGCAACATGTTCTACATGACATTACATTTTCCAAAGATGACCACACCATCATATATCTCATTCCACATGATTTTCTTACAATACAATATTGATATTCCTGTAATGAGGGTGGGGCTGCATTCCCTCCCCTTGAACCTGAGATAACTACTTTGTAACTGCTAGTGGGACTTTGAAGCCTTGGTCATAAAGAGCAATACAGCTTCCACCTGGCACTCTTTGTCAAGACACTTGCCCTTGGAACCCAGCCACAAACACATGCAGGCCACATGGAGAGGTCATGTGTGTATGTTCTGACAGCCACCATCGACTACTAGATGTATGACTAAACAACTCTTCCTATGATTCCCCTCCCCAGTCTTTGAGTCTTCTAGCTGAGGAACTAGACATTGCGGAGCTAAGATAAACCATTATCACCATGGTGTGTCTCGATTCCCGTCCCAAAGAAACCATGAGAGACTTTACATTTTTATATCCATTTATATTTTGAAAATATCATACATATAGATTCATATCATATTCTTATCACTTAAGAGTACATCAAACGGGGCCTGCCCGTAGCTCACTTGGGAGAGTGTGGTGCTGATAACACCAAGGCCACGGGTTCGGATCCCTATATAGGGATGGCCGGTTAGCTCACTTCGGAGAGCGTGGTGCTAACAACACCAATTCAAGGGTTAAGATCCCCTTACCGGTCATCTTTAAAAAAAAATAATAAAGAGTACATCAAATACCTTTCCTTGTCAAAAGATGCCTTATTAAAGCATAATTTTTAATGGCTTTATTGTCTCTTTCATCATAATTTAACAGAACCCTTACTATGGACATTTGATATGCTGCAGACTTTTTCCTATTAGAACCAGCGTTTCAAAGCACATACAAGGGTACTCCAAAAAGTTCATGGAAAATTTGTATTACCTTTCAATTCTATTTTTCCACAAACTCTTAAAGAACCTATGTTTATGTGCAACTATTTTTATGTATATCCTTTTAAAATACTTATTTCCTGTGGAGAAATTGCTACTAGATAAAATAACGCTGTTATAATAATATCAGCCCAAATGTTTATTTAATAGAATAATATTAAAACAATGTTGGATCTGTGCTCTTAAGAAACCTACCTTTAGCAGGGGAAAGACAGGTAAACACATAAAGGATAATATGTAGGATTCCAATACACTGTACATGCTTACATGTGCTTGACATGTGTTCTCATTCTGTATTTTGCAAATGCAAGCATTCTACAGAAAGACTGATTGTTTCCCTTCTATTTGCTGGAATGAATTTATTACCAGTAACCCCAAGAGAGAGCTTCTAATTTAGGTTTCATTTGCAGAAAATATATTGTGGGTTCTTTGCTAGTATCATCATAATTAAAATGGACATGTTTTGTCAAAACAAGTGAAACAAATACATTGGATAGATTTTTATGTTGCTAATACACAAAATTCATAACCCTAAAATATGTTACTCACCCATTACTGTTAATTTTCACCTCAAATTAATTTGGGGCTTGTATTTGATTGCACCTGATTTAGATACATGACCTGAGTTAAACTGGAAGCTGAAAATCATGTATTTCTCGCAAGAATTAAATAAGAGAGCCCGTTACACATAGGTATCTTGAATGTCAGTATATAAACGATTCGTGTATGGATGGAAATGGTTTGGGTCGTTATCAACGGATTTGCATAGCCAGGCGGCTCCCTAACACCACCAGCTTCACATTGGTGTTTCCACTGAGATGCAGCAACCTGAGTGAGCCTCCGTCTTTATCTATCCACAACACTTGACAACCGGTCCTAGAAGATACTGGAAGTCATAACAGTTTCTATGCTGTGCGAAAAAACTGCGCAGCAAAGCAGTTAAGATGCAATCTTGTATGATGAGTGGAAGACAGAGAACTGGGCGGCGAACGAGGCCGCGACCGGGGAAGAGAAAGCCTGACGTGGTCTCGCAGCTCGCGGACCATGCAGTGACAGCCTCTCAGCGCAGGTAGAAATTCCCAGCTCGGCTCGCCTCCGACCATCAGATAGCGGCCGGGAAGCCATGGTACTTTATCCACCCCACGGACGTCACCGTGCCCGACACCGGAGAACAAAGAGTGAAGTGAGAAGCAGGTCAAAAACCCGCTGGTTAAAAATACCTCGTTGGGGCCGGCCCGTGGCTCACTCGGGAGAGTGTGGTGCTGATAACACCAAGGCCACGGGTTCGGATCCTATATAGGGCTGGCCGGTTCGCTCACTGGCTGAGCGTGGTGCTGACAACACCAAGTCAAGGGTTAAGATCCCCTTACCGGTCATCTTCAAAAAAAAAAAAAAATACCTCGTTGGGGCCGGCCCGTGGCTCACTCGGGAGAGTGTGGTGCTGATATCACCAAGGCCACGGGTTCGGATCCTATATAGGGCTGGCCGGTTCGCTCACTGGCTGAGCGTGGTGCTGACAACACCAAGTCAAGGGTTAAGATCCCCTTACCGGTCATCTTCAAAAAAAAAAAAAAATACCTCGTTGGGGCCGGCCCGTGGCTCACTCGGGAGAGTGTGGTGCTGATATCACCAAGGCCACGGGTTCGGATCCTATATAGGGCTGGCCGGTTCGCTCACTGGCTGAGCGTGGTGCTGACAACACCAAGTCAAGGGTTAAGATCCCCTTACCGGTCATCTTTAAAAAAAAAAATACCTCGTTGGCAGGCGCTGGGAAGCGAATGTGGGAAAGGATTCCTTGACCACCCCTCCATAAACCGAACCCTTTGCTGCCTCCTCCAGCGGTCGGCGCCCGCCGTATCCTTGTTGGACTGGGTCGGAGCGCCACGTTGCAAGGACGTTGTATTGAGTAGCCGTTTCTCCTGGAACCTGCCGCGACCCGGGCGACCGCGGGTCGACCCGGACCAGAAGTGACGCAACTGCGTCGAGCACTTCCGGAGCTGCGGGGACGGATCCTCCGAAGGAAGCAGCGCAGGCCCCACCGGCGTTGGCCCGCCGCCTTCGCCGTCGCTACACACCAATCCGACCCCTGTGGCCCGATCTGATCGGGTCTGGCCTGCCCGGCCTCAGGGGCCTCGGGGCCGCGGCTCCCGGTAAGTGTGCGGTGCGAGTTGCGACCTTGTTTACTCTGGCGGGCCGGGGTGTGTGTGTGTGGGGGGTGCTATCCGCGCCTCTCCTCGGCAGGGCCGGGGCCCCGCCGCAGCTTGCGAGGCCCGGGCGCCCCTTGCCGTCCGTACACGATCCGAGAGTCCCCTGCCTCTGGCAGAGGGACAACAGAAGGCTACAGCTGGAGCGGTCGGGCAGCGGCGTCTCTGCCTTTTCTTCCGCGGCCTTCTCAGCAGAAAGGTCGGAGGCCAGCGCCTCTGACCGACCGGCGGCGACACATCTGGGCCCTCCCGCTTGGTGCGCCGGGGAAACGCGTCGTTTCCGGGGCTCCCGACTCATCTTTGGGAGCTCTGGAAGCGCCGCCCGCGCGGTTTGTTAACGCCCGCCTGTGAAGGCTCGGGTCCGCGCGGATATCCAGAAGACCGCGGCGTCTTCAAGGGACATACGGCCCGGCAGCTGCGCCGCCGCCTCCTTCGACGCTGCTGGGCAAGCCACTGAAGAGGCAGCCCTGTTCACGGATAACTTCGTCTTAGTACTGATTGTTGCTGTGTCCCATAGAACTTTCTGTCACGATGGACGTCTTCTGTACTTTTGCTGTTGAGTATGGGAGCTACTAGCTCCACGTGGCCATTGAGCATTTATCATGTAAATAATAAAGCTAGTGCGACTCAGAAACTAAATTTAAAATTTTACTTTTCAGTTAAATTTAAATAACCACATGTGTCTAGTGGCTGCAGTATTAGACAGTACAGAAATGGAGTAGGTGTAGGGTTTTGAAACTAAGTTGCTGATATGTATTTTTGTACCAAGTAGTTTTCTTCCGAGATATGATTTGTAAATCACCACTCAGTGCTAAATATTATATCTGGACTAAACATTCTCAGACTCACCAAGACGTCTGTGTTTTGTTCTTGTCAACTTTAAACTGAGAAGTCTTCATCTTGGATCCTTTCCTTCCACATGTGGCCAGGCCTGTTGAGCGAGCGCATAGTGGGTGTCAGGTCTTCTGAACACGTGACTTTGGCTCTGGGGAAAAATAATTGATATTACTCCATTTCTGTCTGGGATGTAGGTATAATATTTAATATTTCAAAGGAAATCAAAGCGTTGCCATCAGTTCTGTTATTAAGGAGGTAACAACATACTGGCCCTTTGAGCAAGGTCAGCAATCTTTCAAGTGAAAGATGGATATTTAACTGTGAAAAGATTAAAAATTAAGTTTTTATTTAAATCTGGATCTAGAACACCTAGTAAGTACAAGATGGAGTTCTCTTTTCTTTGAAGAGCCTATAGTTTTTCCTGCTACTTGAATATTTGGTTGGTGAGAAGCCTGTGTGCAACCTTAAACCTAAATCCTGAGGAGAAATAAGAGGTGTGATTCTGGAGGGTTTTCCCGTTGCTTTGTGGATATTATCAGGCTCTCTGGGAGGGTAATGAGCAGTTATGAATCCCCATAGATTGTGAGTCTGATGGAAGACAGACGCTTGGTTCAAACATTTACGAGTTGTATGCTCCTGGGCAAGTTACGTAAGCTTTATGACCTATAGTTTCCTCATGTGTAAGAAAAGGACAGTAGCCACTTTGTAAGGTTGTGAAGATTAAATGAGAATGAATTTGACCTGAAAATGGCTGTCGTTAAATGAGAGCTATTATTGGTAGTGATTTTTTGTAAATGGGAGCATATTCACAGATTCTATTTGCCCAATAAGCTACCTTATGTAAAAATACAGATAAAAGAAAAAGTTTGAAAAACATCAGTTGTTTGTTCTTTATTTTGTAAATAGTCTTTCACAATCACTGTTTGGACTTTGACTTTCATTTAGTTTATATTTGCCTGTGTATATCTGAAGTATTTCTTTTTTTTTTTTTTTGTCCTTTTTGAGACCGGCCGCACCACGCTCAGCCAGTGAGCGCTGTGAGCGCACCGGTCATCCCTATATAGGATCCAAACCCGCGGCAGGAGCGCTGCAGCACTCCCAGTGCCGCACTCTCCCGAGTGCACCACGGGCTCGGCCCTAAAGTATTTCTTTTTTTTTTTTCCTTTTTGTCTTTTTTCGTGACTGGCAACGGATCGCAACCCTCAGTGTCGCACCCGTACCGGACCGGGACCGGCCACGGGATCGCAACCCTCGGCGTTGCTCCCGCCCCTCGCTCAGCCAGTGAGCGGCCGGTCTGTATGTGGGATCCAAACCCTCGGCGGCAGCGCCACCGCACTTCCCAAGCGGCGCACTATAGCAGTGCGCCACCAGGCCGGCCCTGAAGTATTTCTTTAGAAGTTATAAGCTCTGGTTGTCCAAGAAATCCTAAAGGTTAAAGCAGTAGACATAAAATTTCTAATTGAGTAAGCAAGTGGTATTTATAAGTCTTGGATAGTGGGATCTGTGTCTCTGGGAAAGCCATATGGCCCTGGAGTATGTCAGAGGAGAGGTGGGAAATGGATGTTAATGTTACCTAGTGGCATCCTACTGAGGACATTTTTATTCGAAAATAACTTTTTTTTTAAAGATGACTGGTAAGGGGATCTTAACCCTTGGCCTGGTGTTGTCAGCACCATGCTCAGCCAGTGAGCAAACCAACCATCCCTATACAGGATCCGAACCCACGGCCTTGGTGTTATCAGCACCGCACTCTCCTGAGTGAGCCACAGGCAGGCCCTTCGAAAATAACTTTTTGATGGGTAAAGTGAGATCTGAAATATTGGCAGTATTCTGTGTTAGGTTACCACAGTGAACCATGTTGACTTTATAGTAAAAGTCCAGTTTTAAGTTAGTTACAATTTGCTTTGTCAACCTCTGTGTGACTTTTAGGATTAAAATTGTGGTAGTTAATTTAGGAAATGTGAGGGATAGGTGTACACGAGTAAGGAGGTGGGCTTTCAAACTGAGAGAGAGAATTGGGCATCCATTTCCATCACTAGAAACCCAGGTTAAATTTTTGTTTGTTTTTGGCAGCTGGCCGGTAGGGGGATCTGAACCCTTGACCTTGGTGTTATACCACTGCACTCTAACCAACTGAGCCACTTAGCCAGCCCTAAATTATTAACGATTTATTTTGAATATGTTCTTTTTTTATTTTTTATTTATTTATTTATTTATTTGTTTGTCTTTTTTCCGTGTCCGGCAACGGATCGCAACCCTCAGTGTTGCCCCCGTACCGGACCGGGGACCGGCAACGGCACCGCAACCCTCCCTGATGCTCCTGCGGC